TAATAAAGATCATATTATTGCACCAATTGTAAGATGTTTGGAAACACTGGAAAAATATTTCAGACTCTATCCTAATTTGAGACCCCAACCTCAAGTACCTCACCTAACTACTCAAGAAGCACCTATTCCACCGGCTGATATGGTGTAAACTTTAACTGGAAGGGATATTGCCACTGATTTTGCCGTAGAGAAGCACCCCTCACTACCTCAACCCCCTCATATTGCTCAAAATGAGGATACTCCCTTTTTGGTGACAGATGATGCTCTATGTGCTATGAAAACAATTATTGCTGATGTTGAGGGCCCTCAAACCTTGGCGAAGTGCCAAGTTCAAGGTGTGCAACAGGTAGAAATTGCCCCCATTGATGACCAACTCAATGATAAGTTGAGACAACCATTGGAAGAAGTTTGGCAAGTTTACAAAACCAGGAAGAGAAAAAAAAAACTAAATGATCCCAAGAATTTACAGGAGGATGCTTCACTCGTTTTGGGTAGAAGCCCTCATTACAGTTTGGTGTTTGACTCCCTCTCTAAAACCAGGGAGAGAGGAAGACCCACTCACCATGATTAAGCTCGCTGGTGGAATTCTGATACTTCACCCCAAACGTGAAGCCTCCTTTCTAGAGGTTTTTATCTGTTTGGGAAGATTGTCCAACTTTTTTGGGGTATACTTGTAATGTTTGGTTATCTTTTTGAGTCTTGTATGTCTTGTGAGTGAGTTTCTAGCAATCGCTCACTAAAACCTTTGAATCTTCTTCTTATCAATGAATTTTTTATTTTCGCGGAATATATATATTTATTTAAATGACTATTTTTGTTATTATAAAATCAAATAACCTAATTAAAGCTTACCTCATCGGTCGAACAAAAGTTTCTTCCTCCCTTTATGCTCGACTCTGATCCACAACACATGAAAGCTTGGCTTTAGCTCCCTCTCGTTGGAACTCAATCGTTCTTCCTCAGCGACGCTTCTTTCTCTCTTCTTCTAAGCCCTTACTCGCAGACGCACAACTCCTTGCTCGACTCCGTCCTACAATAGGAGTCGACGCCATCCTCTCCACTGCTCGAGCTCGACGCTGATACTTCTCTAGCCTCCTCTTCGTCGGATGGGACATCTCCCACATTATCCTCTCTGCATACCACTCGACTCTCAACTAAGTGATCCTTGCCTTGGCTGCCTAGTTTGTCGCGTAGGCATTCAATCCCTGTGTTTCCTGTCCTTGTCTTTGGCTTCCCGACTCTTCGCTTCGGTTCTCACTGACGTTCGACTATTCGATTCTTCTTTCGATAGATCAAACAAAATATTACAATATTCCCCACTTATAAAAATGTCGTCATTGAAATTTATAAACTTATTTCAAGCCATTTATGATTAAGCAAATAAAAAATTAGCTATTCATAAATTTTATGATGAAAACTAGGGGTCATTCATTAAGATCAATATGATTGAAAACTCGATATAAGGAGACTCAAGGTTTATTTGGATAATGATATTGAAACATGGAAGTATGTTAGGAAAATAACCTATATATATAAGTAAACGCAAAACTCATCAGACCTCATCATCGTCAACAGTAGTAGGTTCTTCAGGCTCACTATGAGTAAGGAAATATACTCGAGGTCGAACATGTCGTCTTAGTTGACCTTAAGTAAAAGTTGAAGCTATACTCTTATTTTATTCTACCCACCTGTAATCTTCTGTGAATGGGCTCTATTGATTTTTTATCTTCAGCGCTCTTTTGGCCAAGAGATGGACAATGCCTTGCTCAATGACTAGGTTGACTACAACAATAACAAATGTTAGAGCCCATCAAGCATTCACCTTTATGTGTACATTAAGCATTCACATTGGGCACAAGCAACTACTGTACCCTAAATCGTACCTTTGCTACCTTCACCCAAATGTTCCTTGGACTTCCTTCCATTGGATCCTTCTAAATGATCTAAATGTTCACCTTCACATTATTCTTCCTCTTGTGCATCTCCTTACGCTTTTGAGTAAGTTGATAGTCGATCTCCACCTTCTATCTCGTTCCACTAATATCGAATATCCATCGATCCCTAAATGTACTAACGACTGTTCGATCGAATCCTTTAATCCCAAAAGAAATTGATGGCACTTTTTTTCTAAATTAGCTATTAACTGTGGTGTATACCTCGACAGTGCAGTGAATTCTGCTTCATACTACATGATTGACTTATCTCATTGCCTCAACTTGATGAACTTGTTTTGCATCTTTCGTCAAGCTGATAGGGGTACGAACCACACTCCAAAAGGTCCACGAACTCCTCCTAACTTATCATCCTGTTGGGTATATCCTTTAACCTATCTTGACAATGCTAATTTCACCATCTTTCGGCTTCTCCATCCAAGACAAATGTCGTCAACGATATTCTTCTTTCATCCGGATAAACCATGCTATATAATATTTTCTCTATCCTCATTAACCAGTTTAGCGCTTCAATTTGGTCTTCAGTTTCCTTGAACAAATGTGGATACAGATCTTGAAATATCTTCAAGTACTTATCCACAATGACTGTATCACTTTTGATAGGCTGCGTTTTGGACTTCTGAATCAGCTGAGTCATCGCTGCCATCATTTGGGTGAGGATATTCATGTTCACATTTATCGTATGTTGTATTTCTTCATTTTCTATTAGATTCTCTTCTTCTATAATTTCGATTGTATCGTTATGCCTGAATGAATAATAATTTTTACTTTGAGTTAACTTAATTTTTTTATAATTATTCTATTGATTTTTTTCATCAAGATTTCATTAATTATTCATAAACCATGTGCTTTGATACCACTTTTGTCACGACCCAACTCGGTGCTTAAAATAAACAAAGACGAGAATAGACAGTCTGACGATGTGAATTAAATTTTCTATATTCAGTTACTATTTAAAATATAAAAGAATCATGATCGAAATAAATTTAAACAATATATATAAAATTATCTCGTTGCCAGCTGTTCGCATTTTCTATAAATGTTATCTCGTCTAATATTCATCGTTAATTACTTGATTAATCTGAAAAATTAGTTTAAAATAACTGAGCTAAACAAACCAGCGAATACTCATAAACTACAATAATACAAGAGAAATAAAAGTAATATGCATGCCATTCACGCTTTTAATAAATCAATAAAAAACATTTGATTTTGTTCCAAGAACTTTTCTATATCAATTCATATAAATATCATTTTATATCTGTATAAGTTCACAAGAACATCGTCTAAAAATTATGTCAATTAAGACATATCAATATCAAATTTTTTTATTATACGTGCACGAGTATCTTAACTATCTCCCACTAATACCATCAAATGGTGACTCCTTCATGGTCAGTTATGTACATACAAGCATTCAACATAAACATATCATTCAAACATTCATCACATTCAATTCAACATACTGTATAAAATATATGCCAAATTCATGAAAGTACTATACCAATTATAACAATATGCCCGATAAAAAAAAGAAACTCAATCAGAATAAAGCATGTGCATGTGTTATTAACTGTAAAATAGTTGAGAAGAAACAAATTATTACTATATATTAAAAGTACGAGTATTCACTTTGATGACAAATGATTTGTTCTTGAATTTTACTTAACTTCGATCCTTCAAGAATTTGAGCCTACAGTAAACATGAATTTTAATTTATTATTTAATAAAATATTTACTTTATATTATTTAAGTGTTAAATTTCATTATTTTACCTTATGTAATCCTGCTAAATTTTTTATATATCACATTTTTATTTTTCTAATCATATATATATATATATATATATATATATCATTATTATTATTAAATCAAATAACCTAATTAAAGCTTACCTTATTAGTCGAACAAAAGTTTCTTCCTCCCTTGCACTCAACTTCGATCCAGAGTACACGAAAGCTCGGCTTCAACTCCCTTCCGTAGGAACTCGACCCTTCTTCCTCCTCAGCGACACTTCTTCCTCTCTTCTTCTTCTTCGTTGTTTGAAGCCCTTACTCGCAGATGCACAACTCCATCTTGCTCGAATAGTTCTTTCCGCTGCTCGACCTCGACGCTGATACTTCTCCAACCTCCTCCTCGCCGGTTCTGATACTTCTCCAGATGCACATCAATATAGAATCAAAGTATAGGACACTTACCTTGGGAATTAGTTAACGGATCTTGATTCATAAATTATTTGTGTAACTGTGATGTATTTTCAATAGCCTTATACAAATGTTTTGTCACAGTCAAACATTTATCAATATTGAAAAGAACCTTGTGTATCATGACAGGACAATCATACTGAAGTTGATAGACACTTTATCTCTGAAACAGTTAATGGGGCAATTAATCACTAAGCTACATTCTGACACACCAACAAGTTATTGATGTTTTCACCAAAGCTCCTCTTTTAAGCACATTCTCAGAGTTTAATACCAAGCTTGGTCTCTACAACATCTACGACCTAGCTTGAGGGGGAGTGTGGAAATTTTAGAAGTTTCGGGTGGTGATTCCTAGTATGGACCGTCCAACCATCCAAGATCTTATGAGAAATTTAATTGGAGATTAATTTGGAAACCTTTTGATTCATGTTTATCTCTTTTCTATTTATTTTTTTTATTTTTTTTTTTCAAAATTCTTTTATTTTCCAAATTTATGCTAGATATATTTTGTAAGTTTGTAAATTAGGAGAGATTGTTGTCCCTATATATATATATATATATATATGTACCTGACATATGAATGATAAAATTAGGCCATTTTCCTTTCCAAGTAGTTTCTATACATTTATACATGTAACACTCAAATTTTTAATATCACATCAAAAATAACACTAACATCCCTTACTAAAAGTGAAATATACTTTTTCATGCATAGGTTCAAACTAATGTGCTACATGTGTAAATATGAAATTTCATACTTGAGATGTAATTACCTAACAATTGTGTGCTGGGTATGTAAATTTCCCTTACGAGTTTTTTTTTTATTGGTTTGCATTTCCTGCAGATATGCAAGTTCTTTTTATGGTCCATTTCGTGAAGCTTTAGATTCAAATCCAAGATTTGGTGACAAGAAAACGTAAGTGTTTTTATAAATTTAATGTGGATTTATTTAGTTGTTCACCTACTTGCATGGGATCAACTGTTTGATTTGCTTGTTCAACAAAAGTTATCAGATGGATCCGGCAAACTATCGAGAAGCCATTATTGAAATGGAAGCTGATGATTCTGAAGGAGCTGATATTCTCTTGGTATTTATGGCCGATTTTGTAAATGTATCTTATCATTTGGTACTTCCCTTTGACATTTCAGCTTAGGCTAATTAAACTTTTGGCAGGTAAAACCTGGGCTACCATATTTGGATATAATTCGTCTTCTTCGAGATAATGCTTCTTTGCCAATTGCAGCCTACCAGGTAAAATTGCATTACAGCAAGTCTTCATTGCAACTGGCAATCATTAATTATTGCTTTAGATGGGAATCATAGGGCCACTTTTGCACTCTTCACCTATAAATTGCTTTTTCAATCAATATATTTCTTGCTGAAGGAATTGTGAAACTAAATGTAAATTTCTAGAAATCTAGGCTTGGTTTGAAAGTTTGCCAATTGATGATGCATTATCCTGCCGAAATAGTTTTAGATATATTCACGAAAGGGTCTCTGGTGTTTTTCTAGATCCTATTTTTATGTTAGCATTTATTGTTTTTCTATTTAGTATGTGATGATTCCAAGAATGTTATAGCTAATAAAGGATGGTAGATGGAATACTATGGATCTTATGGATAGCCTTGTTCTAATCTGGCTGAATTGGACAGCTTGGGTGGATCATTTATTTGAGTATGTTGGTCAAGTAATCTGTGTCACCCTTCAGTTGTGAATGGCAAGACATCTCATTAGCATGGGACATGATAAAATGATTTTATCTCAACTTGCAAGATAGATAGATCTCTTGAGCTTAGATTACGTAAGCAAGTTTTACATTTGATCATTAAAGGGAATCTAAAATAACAACTAATGAAAAGAAAATAAATTTACTAAATCTATGAAATTAATCTGGAACTTATACAACTCTAAACAAAGAACCGCTTATAAGAAATAAATGTTGAATCAATTAAATAACTATTTATGAAGAATTTGCTCTAGTTGTGGCAGTCCTAATCAATAAGCACTATATGTACAAAATATTAATTACAAAAGAATTCGTTAGGTAAACACAATACCTCATTTCTATTTATCGAAAGATCAAAAGCATAAATGATAATATATAGGGCATACAAGATGAACAACACGACTAATATGATAAGAATGCATAGTACTGTAACAATTATGATTATAATATTATATTAGAATGATGCTAAATGACAGTTTACTAAAAATATGTGTCTATTATATTATGATTCATAGTATGATGCTTTTAATGCATTTTCACAAGGAATCAATAGTAATCATTACCTATATGCCCGATCGATCTCTCTTTTACCTTAAATTAAAGGAAGATTTTCATTCACCAATGGAGTCCAATGACCCCTAATAGAGTGTTTACTCTATTGATTTGTCAACCCAACGAGCTAATCATATCAATAAAGAGGGTACTACTAATATTTGCACCAATCTCACATACGTATACATGTTTTATATATTATGTTATGAAGAAGTGCTGTAACAATTGTTTTGTTTTGTTAGCAATATGATCAACGTTTATATCATTTCAACATATTCTAATATTAGCATGATCAAGATTTGTCAGAGTCATTTTAGCCATGATAGCACATTTAAATTGAGTTGTACCATCACATGCTTTATTATGCCATTTATAATAATTATCAGGCAATGCTAACTGCACATCACATGACATAATGACATGATTCATAAAACTTTTGTGAATGTGTGAGGCATGATTGAACATGAAAGGTATGAATGATAATTTGTAAGATCAAAGATACAATGCTAGATTTGGACCAACTTGAAATTTTAAATAATAAAGGCGAGAGTCATCATGTACATACACCATGAGGAGGTGTGAAAACATTTTGTACTTTGCAATTCTTGAAGGAGGAACAAATTGGTAAGCAATTTTTATTTTATTTCATCAATTTCATCCAAAGGAGCAAGGAAGCAAGGATGAAGCCTTCCACTCTTGCCAATTCTCGCAAATCAGCACGTAGGTTAAATATTGAAAAAAATAAGATCTCTGACATAATATTTTTTTTTGAGCATTGGGTCAAATTATTTTCTCCGATGCTAACAAATTCATTCTTCCTATATATGAATCTTCTTGGCAACTTTATCAATGATGTCCTAATAGTTTCCTCTTGCCAATATCAAACCAACACAAAGAAGATGTATGTTTGATATTATATAGAGCCTTATATAGTACCATGTCAATGCTAGCTTAAAGACTATTATTATAAGTAAACTTCACAAAGTGGAAGTTAATCCTGTAGCTGCCTTTAAAGTTAATACTAGCTTTCAATAAATTAAAAAAAAGGTCTTAATAGAATTTTTTGAGGACCATCCATCAAGGATGAAAAGCCACACTAAATTATTAACTCTGAAGGTCTTTTATGCTTTCTTTTATAGTTTGGAAGTAAATCTTTCATTATAAACAAATATAATGATGATTTTTATCTTATGTTGTCAAATAATATTGCCCTTATCGATCCTTGCCAGTATGTATAGTGGCTGATACTATTTGATAGGTAGAAAGTTGTTTAGTGCAAATATTTTTATATAGGTAGAAAGTGAGCTTATATGTGAGTGCATAAATTGCTATCTAACCTACATAATGATCCATTTTAATAGTCTCCTCCAGTTTGGAATGACTAACATTCCAAAGATCTAATCTGGAGCCCTAACTATTTGATAAGGGTAAACACTTAAATATAGCTGTCACATCATTTTTCGTTCTAGACTACTTTTCTTTGTGGTCTTAATACATTTTAGCACTCCCTTGGTGAACATAATATAGAGTGATTTTCACTTTCTAATGTATCTTTATTAATGCTTTTGTCTGATTTAGAACATTTAGTTGATCTCTAAATCTCAGTTCACCTATTTGGTCGATAGCAAACTCGGGCTTTGTTGACCTCATTTTTAGTGAGGTCTAGTCTTCCTCTTAGGGTTTAGGATCTAGCCTTAGGGACCTCCCTTCGACCATCTTAGAACCTTAGAAATGGGACCCGCCTTGTTCTAGAAATTCAACCCACTTATGTCCCCTTCTGGAGTTTCGCGTGCGTGGTATGAACTTCTAGCACTTAGAAGGATGAAACCAACATGAGGAAACCCAAAAGGGATTCCCTATAGGACTTTCCTGAGCCTTAGCTGAGCCTTAGGGTGGCCTCGCACTCCCGCACACAAAACTTCGCAATTCGGAGAGTCGATTTCGCAATTCGGAGAGTCGGAGCGTCAAAACTTCGCAATTCGGAGAGTCGGAGCGTCCGATCACCACGATTCGCTTCGTCTGCACTGTTACCTGTCGAATGCTCGAATAAACCTTTTGAAGCGATCGATCGCGGGTCGAAATCTTGTAAAATTTGAATTTTGACGTGTTTTTGACCCGATTGTCGACGACGTCGTCTGAGCGACCCCGGATGACAAAACGGACTACACCGGCACGTCCAGAGCGTCAATTTTGCCTAGGGAGGACACCCATTTTGTTACGTCGCCGCGCGCGAGTAAATCGAATATAATTTAATATATATATATATATATATATATATTTATA